TGTGTTCTCTATTCTAAAATTGTAAGCGCGACAGTTAAAGTGTTAATTACTTTACAAGTCCCCAGACAGAAACACTTGAACAACACCATTACAAAACATTACTGTATTTTGTCTGAAGAAGGATCTTAGACTACTACAGTATATCTTCTGTTTGTTTTTATGTTACTGCCTAACGTTTGGCGTAAGTTAGGTTATTTTTTAAAGCCCTAACTCGAAAATTGCGACTGCCGAACAAGAGGTCTCGGGTTTGGTTCCCGGGTCGGGCAAAGCATTACTGGGTTTTTCATAATTCTCAGTAGTAGCATAGAGTCTGGAATTATGCCCGGTTGTGGCAATAGGCTCACCCCCTATTACATGGGACTCATAGCATAAATAGTGAAAAGTGGGTATTACATAGTACAGTGGCATTAGGTGCCGTAATGTGACCCTCTGCCTAGGTCTTCGGGTATAAAAGGCTTGATTTTATGTTATTCTAACTCGAAAATTGAACTCAACACCTTCAAAACCTATTTTAATGAATCTGTCCTTTAGCAGCTACAAGATAAAATGGCTACTAAGTATTCAGAATCCGTGAAGACTATCCAAAAATCTACTTACGCATTTAAAATCGTACCCTACGATAGTAGAGTTACGGCATAATTTTTACATTTCATTTTTTCACTAAAGGTTGGCAATAAAAACTTATTTTACATAATTATATTTTCAGGGCCCGCTATGCATGTAAGGTTCAAGAAATATGGCAGGTCCAACGATTGGTTATTGCACATAGGAGAGGGAAATTTGAATAAAAGGACGCCATAAAATAGTCGATGGATATTATTGTGACTGGGGGTAAAAGAGACCCGGGTGTCGATAGTAAAATATATATTTTTAGGACCCAGCCCTTAAGGGTTAAGTTTGATATAATGTTAAGTTAAAATGATATATTTTTGTTCGCCCCATCTTTTAACTGTTTTGTTTGAATGTGGATGTGAGCTTTATATGTATAAAGAACCTACACTTACCGAGAAAAACGTGTTATGTTAATTTTAAATGTAGGTATATAATCTCACTTATCATACATAAAATCACACCTTATCCCCGAAGGGGTAGGCAGAGGTGGACATTACGGCACTCAATGCCACTGTACAATGTAACACCCACTTTTCACTATCCCATTTAATAGGGGGTGAGCCTATTGCCATATACAGGGCACACTTTCAGACTCCGTTCTACAACTGAGACTTTTTTTTAAAACCCAGTACAACTTTGCCCGACCCAGGAATCGAACCCGAGTCTCCTTGCCCGGCAGTCGCACGTGCAACCACTCGGCCAACGAAGCATTTTATATATAAATGATAATCATCTATAATAATCCATGTAATATTGTGAAGGAGAATTTCAAAAGGAAAACTGTAAATTATTTTTTCAATTAAAATACACGTTATATATTGACTTCGTACAATTTACTATGGAACATTGTAATTAAAATACTCTTAATCCACTTATATACACATATATTGGAATAATGTCATACTTTATATAATAATTTTGGCTACATATAGAACCTCGTTACTCCTTGATACGCCTATAAAAAGTAGTATTTGTACCTCGCAACTAGCTTGAAGAATAAAAACAATACCGTGTAATATTCCACGAAGGATCACGTTCAGATCCCCCAAGCATTATCATTGTCACATATAAAAAACAATACACAACAATCAACCCTAAAAAGCTTCGACATTTAACCCTTCCCTAACCCGGCCTATCATCGTAACCTTCAATAAACCAAGCGGGGCATATCTGACCCCGCCCGGGTTAAACCGTTCTTCCATGACGTATCTTTAAGCGAAATTTTTGCGATCCTCACTTGTTACAAGAGTTTTCGCTTACAGATTGAGGTTGGCTTTACAATTTCCACAGATTTTTCCTATTGTCTTTTTTGTGGCTGATACAATGCTAATGAGAGATGTGGCAGATAAGGCCTACCCCGGGTCAAGTGGACGGGGGGTTAGAATAAGTCGCTTTTGTAAACAACTTGACAGCCTGCTGTTAATTGTTTTTTTCCTACGACTCCAGGGAATAATTAATGGGTTTATTCCCAACCCCACTTTTAACAATTTATTGGTTAAGTTATAAAAACGGTTTGACTCTGCTCGGATACTCGTTTCTAAAAGGATCTGTAAAGTGGAAAATAAAATGAAGTAAGCACACCTCAAGTCGTCGGATTCAATCAAGCAAGTGCCAGCGAAGCTACCCGCAAACACATGATGCACATTTCGCCCCTCCGAATTTCCGTGAAAATCAGAGCGCCCGGTCGCCATAAACGACCCAATTCACATACATCGGAAAATATCTCACACGTATTTGGAACTTGCAACCTTAGGGGTTGAAACCAATAAACTAAGCGGGGCGAAAATAATAAAAAATTCACATCAAATTGAATGTCAACCCCTAGAAGGGGATGTTATTAGAAAATTTACGAGCGCCAAGCCGAGTACCATATTATGTTTTATACCACTCTGTGTCATTGTGGTAGGTTATATGGGGGCTATAAAATATATTATGCACGCAGTGTAGGGTTAAAAAGATTGAAACGTCACTTTTTGCTGTAATTGTCCGTAATAAGGGTTGAAATGTTACATTCCGGAATTTTAGCTCGGGGTTATCACAGTCATATATGTCTGCGCTGTAGTCGCGGGTAGAGTGGGAGCGAGACAAAAAATGTTCTCAATATAAGTGATACTGCACACGAAGATATCCCGACGGCGACCGATTCTCCAACCAACTAAAGTGTTAACTAAGCATGTTTTGAAGAAGGCCTTACGTTGTACGTGAGGTCAGTCGATTTGGATCGTTTTGACATAACAATAGAGTTTGTATTTGCATGTCTTTGTAAAAATTCGGGTGCTGATCAAACAATTTGACGTGGCTCGAGGCGTTAAGGCTTTCGTGTAATATAATTAGAAGAGCTCTTTGTAAAGGAGCTCGTCAGAAGTGCTGGCTGTGTACATATTTCTGGTGTTGCCATGTTCCGGGTGCGGTCTGAAGGTTAGAGGGGGGAAGGGGGGGAGCGGAGGGTAATTACAGGTATATTAGAATACATTCCTCCTCCGTCCTTGGGTATTATTACTTGTTGCTGTGTATATTTGGGTGAGGGTATCTATTTTATCATGGTGTCATTTTGTTTACAAATGAAAGGTGTTTTGTATAAGAATTTTGTTATTTCGGACGCAATAAAATTCTCTAATAATTTTATAAGGAAGTAACTTACCAACAATTTACCTTGGACATAAGTACTTGACAATTTTCAATTGTCATGCCTTTTGAGTTAAGACATTGCTAGTACATATTTATTATCAGGTTTAATATTTAAAATCACATATTTAACGTTTAACCTACCTCTACATCGGGAATCAATCCGTCGGCCCCCGAATCACTATTTATATTTATCTTGTATTCAAACAAGATGAAAGCATCGAGATGTATTCAGAAATATAATCTTTTGTATAACAATGTCGATAATTATAGCTTAAGGCAGAACTCGAAGTATTTGTGAAGGAATTAAACAAGTTTCAGGTTTCAGGAGATAACTTAAACTTTATACTGTTTAGATTTACACAAAACTGAGTTTATATAAGCGAACAATCGAATTTCATGGTTTCCATAGAAATGTATCTATGTTCAAACAAAAAAATATACATTACAGTATTGATATATGATATCTTCATTAAATGAAATTGAGGACTCAGATTATAAAATTAAAAAGTAAGTAGATACTAAATTTTAAAATTGCATTTTAGAAATACTATTTTATGCATATAATAAAAAAACGCATAAAATAAACGAGATAATTTATGGAAAAAGTATTGTATTTGATCCAAGCGATCAAAAAATCCCACGTTCCGTTATTATTAGGCACTTTTGGTGGATCATTTAGTTTCCAGCACAATCTTCATAATAATTACACTAGACTTAGGGCACTTTACAAAAAGTCTAAATAAAGTAGGCCCTGAAAAATCCTCCAGGCATCAATCTGAAGCCTCCTTTGAAAACTTAATAAATTTATCCCTGTAAGCGCTTTTTTAACCTTATCAAATTTGCTTTTAAGGGCAATTTGGAAAAAATCTTTTTTAGCTAGCTAGGTGAAAGAAGCCTGAGTTTTATTGTCAATCTTACTTATTTTAAAAATCTAGGTATCCTCTACTGATTGATGCTGATTGCTCTGATTAGCCAGCTCCAGTGAAGCACCCAATCAGAGTGCCGAACGCGGATACTATTGCGTTACGAATGCGATAGTCCTTCGTGTTTAGCGGTCTGTACTCTGCGCAGGTACAGTTTGAGTTGAATATAAACTGTCACACATTGCATCGCATGCATCGGTGTGAAGAAATGCCTGTCATCAGGACATATTTATTTAAAAAGGGCGATGTGAATTGTGAATCTCTCTTTGAATAGTAAAACTTGTACAGTTGTCCCATTTTACTTAGTATCTAGACTTCAGGAGAAATAATGAATTCTGATTTCATTATTTTGTCTAGTCTTGTTTGTTCTTAACATGGTTGGATAAAAATCTCAATAGATTTTTTTATATTAAAGTACTAGCTCTTACCCGAGGCTTCGCTCACGTCACAAAAGGATAAAAAGTAGCCTATGTGACATATATACCAATACATACAGCGCGGGAATATCAAATTTTTCCGGGATAAAAACTACCCTATTATTTAATACGGACTTCTAACTTTACGGCTGCAAAAATTCAAAGTAATCGGTTCAGTAGTTACGGCGTGAAAGCGGAACAAACAAACTCACTTTCCAATTTATAATATTATATATAGTAAGGATAAACAAATCAAAATTATCAGCGATATCACAGAACGATAGAAACCAGTTCCTACATTTTGAGAACAAAATATGACTATCACAACATTTTTCTATGCAGAATTTTTAAACCACCAACATACTCTATGGCTGTAACATATAAACAATAATAGAAATGAAATTTATAACTAAGTACTTACATATAACAGTGAGCGAGGCGTTGGCTCTGATGACCTTGTGCATCTGAGCTGGTCCCACCTGGCACTGATACTCCGCATCGTCCTCCAGCGAGGAGTTCACTATCCGAAGGTTGTAGACCCCATGGCGACGGTCCCCGAACATCGTGTAGCGAGGGTAGCCGGGGATCACAGATGAGAAACCTGGTGGGACAGAAGATGAGGTTAGTTATGGAATTTATGGTTTTGATCTTAAGGTTGGTGATATTGAACTGTTTGCATTAAAGAACTGAGAAAATAAGTAACTTAAACCGAACTGTAATATCTAAATAAATACATTTATAGGTTTTACTCTCACTAAAGAAGGAAATCGTTTTAACTAGCATTAATGATATTTTTCATAGTAGCTGTATGAAATTCATTTATGACAAGTTGCGTTCCGCTAAACCTATTCAAAGACCTCTCTTAAAAGGTTTTAACATTAGAACTAGACTTCAAAAGAAAACTCTCGACAACACCTAAACACGATCAGACTTAATACTAATCCCAGCTTACTGAACAAAAACATAACAGAAAGATAACAAAACTTAAATTCCTTTGCTCCAAAAATACAAAAAATAATCGATTTCGCAAGAATAGTAATAATTTTAGACTAGAAAACAGTTTGGAGCACACACCATGACAATCGTTTAGCTACACACAGACAGACAGGCAGACGTTACGATTCGCGTTCGAATCGTTAATTGTTGAAATATTACTCGTATCGGCACGCGATAGTAAATTCCCAGAGGAGAAGTGTTGATTCGTTTTACTTTATATAACAATGTAGTAAAGTATGAAAGAAAGTTTTCTGATAGTCAATTTATCGCTATATGTAATTCTTATTATCCTACATTTCTAAAATGAATGAAATATTTACAAAATTACAAATCTCAGTAGTAGCACGGAGTCTGGAATTGTGCCCGGTATATGGCGATAGGCTCACCCCCTATTGCATGGGACTCATAACATAAATAGTGAATTGTGGGTGTTACATGTGCAGTGGCATTAAGTACCCCTCTGCCTACACTTACCGGGATAAAACGCGTGATGTTATGTTCTGCTTTATGAAAAATTTGTAATTGAACATTTTCAACAACATTGAACATTTTCTGTTCTCCTAACGAAGCAACATTTTCCCCGATCGGCAAATTAGACTCGAACCCTGACTACTATAATGCGTATAGTTTTTATTTTCGATGAAAAATCTTTAGTAATAGATACAAACCAAATCCCTCCAAAATGTTTACACCCACCTAAAATTATGCCCAACCCACTTCCACAAATGGTATGAAATCTTATCACAAATTGCATAATGAAATTGTACCACGTTTCACTCCATCACGAGTACTCTGCCCATCCCATAATCCACGGCGTCGGGCGTCCTGCTAAAGCTAGATAAATCCCATTGAGTCCTATGTCATGGTATACAGATGCCATGACCTGCACGGCTGACGCAGTGAGTGGAGTAATTTAGAGGCGATAGCGATTTGATGATCATAAAGACTTGAGAGAGGTTTTGACCCCGTCTTCTTATTTGTTTTTGTTTTCGGTATTCTCACAACTACGACGTCTACTGCTAGACAAATACCTCCCTTAGTCCTCTACGTCGAACAACTACTTGCCACCTGTACCTACTTGTTCCCCGCAACTTTGGCAATGTCGTCGGTTCACCTAGCGAGAGGCCTGCCCACGCCTCATCTTCCGGTCCATGGTCTCCACTCCAGGACTTTCTGGCCCATCTGCCGTCAGCCCTTAAGGGACGTGGCCTACCCATTGCCACTTCAGTCTGCAGATTTTGCGATTAATCAAACTACGAAAATATGTCAACCAACGCTTTTTTTAAATTTCGAAAATATAGATATTTCAGGTTTGACTCTAAATCAAATTAAACCTAGACCAGGTAAGATGATAGTTTCCACGTGATCAAAATTAATCTGTAGATACTAGATGCAGAATCGTGTCATAACTGATCTAAATCTATGTTCATGATCCGTTACTACAAAAACCGCGCTTAATGCCTATGCGATAAAGACGTCGTTAGCATCAAACTATTACCGTTGACTTCTTAATATACAAACATGAGGTTTTGTGCAACACTCGTGACATTTAAACTACAGCTGAATGGATATTATGACTGCATTACTGTACATGCAAATATTATTTTGTTACTCAGTTGTTTACAGACCTTTCTTGTAAACACATTTGAATTATACACTCCAAATCACAATTACTGTTTTGAAACCTGCCCCTTAAAGGTAATACGACGATTTTGACAAATTCAGAGACACTGAAGTATCCAGCAACAATGTCTTTTATTATTGTTTTTATTTATTTTCACCCATGATCATCTTACTGCTAGGCAAAGGCCTCCCTACCCTCCATCCACTCCTCTCTATGTAAAACTTTTTGCGGCCAATCCTTGTCAATTACGTCCAAATCTCCTCTTGGGCCTACATTATGTCTTTTATTTTAAAATATATATGAAACTTAGAATACATCAATACTTTAGATTATCATCATTATCATATCAGCCACAGGACGTCCACTGCTAAATATTCCCCCAATTACTTCTAGATAGGCCGGTTGTATTTAGATGTACGAGTTTTATTTTAAAAACTTTGCTATGCGTTTCCCACATTCCCCTATACCTTAATTACACAGTACAGTTTACTTTATTATCCAATCATATGACATTGTTCTGCATAACTCCACGAGGTCAGGCTACAGGGGTGAGCAGAACAGTGCGTTGATTTTCAATGGAATTTCCCGTTGAATTCAGAGCTATAGAACAAGGGTGTGTGATCCATTTTGCTGTTGAAATTTGTGGTCCAAGCCATAAAAGGAAAGCGGAAAAGTAATGCTGTATTTCTGCTGAGTAAATGTTCATATTCCTCTAAAACACATTGCACATCACATGGTAATTAAAATACATTTCTCGTAAAATATGTAATCAAGAAAATATAATATATTATGTCTTATTTAAGTTAAGATTATAAATAGATATTATAACGTTACGTCAGTTGGTGACTTTGTCCCATTTCTAAGTTGAAAATGTAATTTTAGCTCGAAGAAAATTAATTTAAGTTTGTAAATTATGAAAAGACAAACTTCAAAACAACTTTGTCTCATTTTATCGTTAAAATCATTTCCAAATAAGTCTATATTTTGAGTATATGTTGGTTTTATTTTAGGCCACATACAAACTCTTTGAAGATACATACATTTTCCTTTGGTGCCCGTTTATTTGACAACATTTCGATATTTTAAATCGCTTAATCTTTTAACTTGTAACCTCAATAATTAGCAACGTTGTGTGAAGTCACCTCGGTGTTTGCTATCAATTGGCAGTTGCTGCGGATGCAAAGCAACTATGATACAGTTAGGAGTTCCCTATGTATTCAGTACACACTACACAGTATACTTAATCTCTGACACAGTCAATCAAGGTATTACCTACGTATTTAGTAATATTGACAGTTATTCTCACTGTATTTTAGATGTATTAGTATAAATACAGAGATGATTTAGTCATGCAATTTTGACCTTTCTTACACTGGAATTAAAGACAAGTTCCTGTTGGCCACTTTGACTACTAAAAACTTGACTCTAAGTTAAAGTTTGTCTTTGAAAGTTTGATTTTTAAAAACGCTTTCTATAATTATGACAACAGAAATGCTTTGGTGCAGCAATATAGTCTCAAATCTCAATATACTATCCACACTAATATTATAAATGCGACAGTGTGTGTGTCTGTTTATTTGCCCGTTCTTCACGACAACACGGGGTGACGAACTGACGTATTTTTTTGTTTTTGTGAATATTGTTAAAGGAAAGTGATACAATTTTCAAGGTTGCACGTTTCACGGACTATTTGTGACTAACAAAAAAATTGAATCATTTTTTTGTAAATCTGTCCCCAACCCCCTAAAAGCACGTGCGAAGCCGCGGGCGGAAAGCCGATTTACTATAACATACTCCAATTAACAATGAGTTTTACCCTGATTCCACTGAACACCAGTATTTTACTTGAAACGGTTGCTATCTGCCCACAACCCATTAAGGGTGATTCGACGCAGTTCAGTTTGATGTTCGGCTCTCAAATCTATGTCAGCCATTGCTATAACCGTTGGCATAGATCTTCGAATAACTACCGAGACTGATGGCTTCACTTGATTTTGTACTGTGTTTTATTATGACTGTTAAAGTAAATAGTCTTTTATACCTGATATTAATTTTCTTCAAAGTATTTGTTGACTATTAATATGAAAAACGTCAAAGATGGTGTTACATTACAGTGGCAAAATTGTGTTCCCAATAATGACTACCACTACTACAAAAAGCCTATTTTTTATCAGATAAGGCGACAAACGAGCACATAGATCACTTGATGGTAAGCAATCGGCACTCTTTGAGATATTAGATATATGTAAGGATTAGTTTGATGAGGACCCATCAGGAGTTAATATGCAAATAGAACTATGTTATTGGCACATGGTAAAAACACTACATGTGTGATTTTTAAAGACAAGATTCTCAAAAAGCTAAAATCGCTACCGCTCATGCCTCAACCCTCCAGTAATTAGAACGCAGTACCAGTGAATCCTGTCACCCAGTAGTTCACATTCAATTGACTATGAATGTACATTCAGTACATTCACTCACGACTGAGACCGAATGATTTCCAGTCAAGGATTAGAGTGAATAAGATGTATCGCTGATCGCGTCCATTTGGATCAGAGCGGCTCAGCTGACACGTCATTCTATGCCTATTGGGCAATTGGGAGTAATTCTAGTGTTGATAATTGGGTAAGCAAATGTATTGCTATAGTTTAACAGTGTTTCATCTACAGGGGTTTCATTTTTCCTTATGATGGGTTATTATAAAAGTGGTCCAGTGGTCCAAGCAAGTCAAGATAGGTGATATGACATATAAAAACGTTTTAGTCTTCATTAACCCATAAATTTCACCTAAATATACAAGTAAATGGTTAATTTTGGTGCTTTTCGCACTAAATAACTTCTAATTAAGAGATAGTCTAGGGATAGTTGATGAAAACGGCCATGACAAAAATATAACTTGTAAATAATTTATCGAATCCTGAACTCATGTGAATGGAAGCTGAACTTCAAGCTCCATGTCAATAACATTGAATAATTATGACTTTGTTTCACTAATAAAGTACTTAATGAAAACGGGTATGTGAACTGCGAGTATCAAGATTCAATTTCAAAACAAAGCTTCACCCCATCACTCGTGATTACACTGTCCTTCCACTTTATTTAGGAAAGCCTTTATCCCGCTTCCCAATACCGCGCCCCATCTCATGTTAGCACAATATGTAGTAAATAAAAACCTATCTAATTAAGAGCCGTAACGTAAATTCTCAGTAATCTGGGATTAGTTCTAAACCAAACTTAATTGAGCCTATAAACCTTAGCTGGCACCATTTAATCCCAAACAATGGACTAACTTAGGTTTTGTTACAAATATCATGAACGTAGTTTAATGTTGATTATTATTATACTGGGTTTATCGTCCTGGAGATTTACTGGGGTTATATAATGCGGTTTTAGTGTTTCAAGTACGCTGTAAAGTTTGTTCAAGTGTTGACAGGTTCAGGTTACATTTGTGCTTTATATGAGGTTCATATTCGATTATTGAACTTATATTTCAATACTAAATTACATTGTACAGTGGTGCACATCTAACTACCTTCGCGTGATGTTATGTTATGTTATTTGAATACTATGTATGACTTTAACTTGACTAAATAGAATTGAAGACTTTTCCTCTAATCCCGATCAGATTTTAGTAAGAAACGTATGAATATTATAGTAACAATATGGCTACTAAGTACATACACTTCTGCTTTGACCGAAATTGCAAAAAAAAATCATGCATTTTAGACTAAGTTCAAAATTAACAAACACGACAACTTTCTCAACGCAACAATAGCTATCATCACTGTCCAAAGAATTATGATGAACAAACAGATAGATACAAATATCAGTCGAAACAATAGCTCTGATTTTTATTACGGCAAATACAAAAGTCTTATCTACTTACCAAGTGCAAATCCATCTTTAGCCCACTGCACTTGTCCAGCAAGATTTGCTACTGCACATTCCAGCACTGCCTCGGCTCCCTCCTGCACCCTCAGACTTCGAGGCACAACCCTGAAGTATTGCTGCTGGAAGGCAGCCGCGCATACTACCACTGAAATATTAGAAAATAAATGGTTAACCAAATAAACAATTAATAGCATGTTTTTGTGTTAAAAATGTTTGGATTTTCCTATCCTAAAAAGACTTCCGAGAAAAATCACTGGACCAAACGTTTATAGTTAAAGAGATGATTTTATTTACATTAAAGATTGATGAAATCAAAGAGATATGTAGGAATCGTAGTAATTGGCGTTCCCTAGTCTCTGCCTACCCCCATGGGAGACAGCCGTGAAGTTATGTATGTATGTATGTATTCAATTAAAGTTCTCTCTTCTTTTTGAGGTTAAGCTTCAGCTTGACATGAGAATGAAAAGCCAACTATTTCCTTATGAACAGATAGTTTTAATTGAATAAAGAATAATTGAGACAGATTCCTAGTTTAAAGTTGGAATACCCGAAACCAAAATAATAAAGAAACCACAATTGTACAGATCGCTATTTTGAAAAACGACTTGCATTAAAAAAGTCCTCATCAGTGTAACGTTCAGAAAAGCCAAATAGGTTATAGACTTATTTTTTTTAAGAAAAATGTTCATCCTTATGATAAGGATTCTATCTTAGTATACTTAAGACCGAACACATAAATAGATAAACCCACAGACTAGATTTTATACTATTATGTATAGAACACGATTAGGCAGGCATTACGTAGGCTTTGCATATTTATCACACGCCTTTTACGTTCAGGGTCACAGATTTGACTCTCGCGTAGATACAAACGAACTAATGGGTAACAGATGTTTCACTTTAAGTTTTAGGCACAATAATTTTGTAATATGAAATAAAGTTACTAATCATGTGTGATAATGATAATCCTCTTTGACTATAAATTATTTTAACAGAGCTGTTAATAACCTACGCGTCTGCTGATGTTCGCATATGTATCTAATTGAATACTAGAAGGATAGCTATCTAAGTACCTATCTATTAATTTGAACCCTCGTTCGAATAAAACATTTTCCTTCTATAATGTCTAAATAGGTATATACTATTTGAATATAGCTTTTTTTAAAACTGCATCAAATCAGCTCAGTCAATCGTGAGATTGACGCAGACCACATCATGAGACACATACATATAAACATGATATGATCATGGAGAACATTCTTCTTTTTTTGAAGTTGGTTCAATTAAATTAGTTAAAGCAAACTGGTCCTTATTCATATTCTAATAAAAGACCCATTTTAATTTCAATCCAAAAAGGGCCAATTCATTTGATCTTCGTCGGAACGAAAAGACACACAAAATTCTTAGTTCAAAACCCTAAGTCTAGATCCTTGACACTTCGCATTGATTACTATAATTGTGACCCCTAACCTTTTAGGGCAAAAACCTTCCAATGAAAGCCTAAGACAAAACGGTTTATTATTAATAATATTAGTAGAGTGAAGAAAACAAAAGTTTCGTATATTGGTTAATAATACAATATTGTCTGAAGTGGGTTGTTCTTTGTGAGGCAACATACGAGGTTATTGTACTTGTGGTTGTTGTATCAGCGGGTAGCGAGGAGCGGAGAGAAAGCGATTTTAAAAAGAGTTAAAATTAAATCATCATTGCCTCGTTGGCCGAGTGGCCGCAAGTGCGACTGAGTCGTAAAAGTATTACTGGGTTTAAAAAAATCTCAGTATTAGCATGGAGTCTGGAATTGTGCCCGGTATATAGTAATAGCCTCACCCCCTATAGGACTCGTAACATAAATAGTGAAAAGTGAGTGTTACATTGTACAGAGGCATTAAGTGCCCTAATGTGCACCTCTACCTACGTCTTCGGGGATAAAAGGCGTGATGATGTTATATGTCATCGTCATCAGTAGCACTATCCTTAGAATCAACAATGGAAGATCTAGGAGGTATAGGAAAAGAGGGGTTTGTCACAATCTTAAAGAGGGAGTCGAATATCTTAGTTTCAAAGGATCAGGTTGCCATACAGCTATGTGATATTATATTTTTGTTTATTTGTAGCCATTTAATAAAATTAATTTGAAACACAAACATGTTTGTAATAAGCCAGATATATTTTGATTGGTTCGCATAAAATATTATCAACACTCATTTCAATTTCCTAGAAAACGAACGAATTTGATAAAATTGCACGTCAATTTTAATATCGAATGTACATACATTGTTAAATTAATTACAATAACAGCTTTTTAACAAAATATTATGATTGACCACCAAACACGTAAATAACGTTAATTTAAAACTGACACCCATCTATAAATTGGCCTCGGCAACCAATAAATATCATAGGTACAATATTCATAATATGGTCTGTGAACCCTTTGATTGTCTGAACTGGTACAAAAGATGTCAATCAGTGGTTAATTCGCGACTGTCTCAAGTGGGTGTCGACAGTCGACTGTTGAGTTAGTGGCGAGACATGTGAGGTGACTGTACTACGTCGGGGCACAGTGGTAGCTGAGAGCGGAGATGGAAGAAGATGGGATTTTTAGATGGAAAATGAGGCATAAGTTAAAGGCATATTTCGAGAAACTGATAAACTTGATTAATAAAGCATCACCCTAAGGTTGACTGTTAGAGAATGCCACTAGGTATTAAGTCCGCCATTGTATACAATTGCAAGAACTGTAAATAAATAAATAAAGAAAGATGGTTTAAAATGCCTGCCTAAGTAGGCATTTTAAACCATCTTTCTTTATTGGGAATTTGACGCATCTAAACATGTTAGTTACCTAAATAAATCAGAGTGAACTGACGACAATTAATTACAATTTGGTAAGAAAAAAATATACTTAAAAAAATTGCACAAAATATTCAATTTTTTTGTCTGTTTCACAAGTGCGACACGCTACACCTTATACCTTGCACCGGCAAGTGGCCCTACGTCACTGTAAGAGCCACTACACACTCGCGACTGCGACGAGTGCGTGAGTTAGCACGACAAGTCGACAGTCGCCATGTTTGGGCTGTGGCTAATTTTCAAAACAATGTTAAGAAATTTTATACTTCCCGTGTATTATTTTGGACTTAGAAAGAAAGTAGTATATTTTGACAAGTTCCTTTTAAGGCGTCATCAATTTACGAGTCCAATTGATTCCGATGTTAGTATACTTGGCTTTTAATCAGAGGTTCTCAAAGTTTAGTTTGTGTCATATATATTTAGCCTTTTTCATACGTAACCACATAGCTACGAAGATATTTTATCACTATAAACAAAACGATGATTATTTTTTATAGCCATTGTTTTATTATATGGTTTGGTAAAATCAATACAATTGAGATACTATAATTTTCATTGATAAAAAATATATGGCAATAGGCTCACTCCCTATTACATGGGACTCGCAACATAAATAGTGAAACGTGGATGTTACATTGTATAGTGGCATTAAGGGCCGTAATGTGCATTTTGCCTACCCCTTTGGGGATGAAAGGCGAGATGTTATGTTGTTTTTATTGGCAATGCATTGGCGTTTGGCCACTATCTCGCCTGACGGTGAGCGATGATGCGGTCTACGATGGAGCACGTCTATCCAAAAGAAACCTATTCACTCGAGCCTTCGAGGTACCCTTCTGGAAGCACAGACCCTGGCAAAAAGTTGATGAGAAACTTGAAGCGAAACGCGTCATATGATTTGTTATTTACACCAAAGGTGTACGATTGTATTTGAGAATCTATGTCCAAAACTCAACAATGACATCACTTGACAAAATAATAGGTACTACCTATTCTGTAATACAGTGATTGTAGACATTTAGAGAGGACCTAGAAAAACAATTGAATAGCTATTGTTGACAATGTCCTATTTTGGTTGTTCCATCGAGATTGTTTCCAAAATGGATTCGTGTTAATTTTAAAACTATTCTACTTCGACTTGTGAATTGATTTATTTAGCTGAAAGTGGACGAGGGCGTTAACCCTGATAGCTTCAGAAAAGGTAAAGCATTCGATTCTCGGTTCAGGAAGAAGTTTATTAGATAAGATGGTAAGAGATACTGGATTTAGTATTGGTGGTGGACAACTGGTGAAAATTAATGCCCGTTTTCGCTAACCTCTCTTAAATTTAAAGGAACCCCTACGCTAAGATAGGTGACACTTAATAAAGTGACAGAAGTCAGTACAAGTGACGGTTTAATTTAGGTGCTTCCTCAAACTAAGTGACTCTTAGTTAAGTGACAGTTCAATGGTGATTGGTGAAAACGGCCGTAAATGTTACATAGTAAGTGTTCTGCTTACCCTTTTGTAATCTTGCTAAAGATAATCACGAGATATTTAAAGCTGAAGTCTTCACACGAAAATATCTTTTGTACAGCCACAACAAGAACAGCACAAAAATATTTTAAAGTAATACTTAACAACATGAAGAAGATAATTAATCTCATTTCATGAACAATCGCACAAATTGAGTTAAACTTCGAACATCAACCTTACTGCCTTGTAATAAAGACTATGCCTTGAATAGTGGTTTAACTGTACAACCCGACCATTATCATTATTGTACGGGAACCGACATAATTGTAGCAATAACTTCCTTCTATAGAAAAACCATCATTAAACAACTTTAAGCTTTATAAACGAGAGCTAAAGTACAGTTTCGTGTAACAGATTTTAGTAGTAATATTCAGGAGAGTTATTAAGGAAGCATTTTATACTTTAATGTATGGTATTAAAGTGTATTATCGAAGTATAACTCCCATATTTAGTTATAGTGGAATGACGGAAATGTTTGTGCTTTAAGGCTTGGGTATAGGGTCGAAATTGCCATTAATTTAATAAGCTAGAAATTAATACATTATTGTTTAATAAGTAAATATTTATAATTCGACTTATAACGTAGGGTTGTCAAAGTATCTAGACCAAAATATGTAAAAATATATTGACACTGACTGCCTCATTGGCCGAGTGGTCGCAAGTGCGACTGCCGGGTAAGGAGTCTCGGGTTCAAATTCCGGGTCGGGCCAAGTATTACTGGTTTTTTTTAAATCTCAATTGTAGCACGGAGTCTGGAAATGATCCCGGTACATGGCAATA